CTAACATGACCGATTTAGGGGACACCAAAGAAGGATGATTTTACAGCCAAGATAGGTCTTGGCTGCGAGAATTGACCATGCAGTTCCTCTCGTTGACTCCAAGGTCGTTCTTGATTCGGGCGATGGTGTGAGCCATGCAGTTCCTGTCTATGAGGGCTTTGCTCTACCTCATGCAGTAGGGGACTCAGAAAGCCGAGAATGCCATAGAGAGAATGCAATACATATGCAATTTGCGTTCTGAGAGAAGCCCTCCCTTGAAAGCCTTGGCAGAACGCAGCTACAGGTCATGAGATCCGACGTTGCAGGGCGAGATGCCCGATTCCTGAGCTTGGGTGGAATCCATGTAAAGACTGGTCGTTGGGATCCACCACTCCAACCCAGATCTCCCAAAGAAAGCCAGCCAAATCCTTCCTGAAACGCATCGCTTTCAGAGATTTTCAGGCAAAAACGCATGTGGTGCTGGGTGCAGCTGGTGAAAGCTATGCTGGTCCCCGCCACCGAGGTCACCGAGCACTTGCTCCTTCAGTTGAGAAGGACGGGGCACGTGCGGGGACCGAGGCGAGCTGCGAAGCGGACCAAGCACCTTGCTTGAGCTATTTGCCCATCAGACGGTGCATGCACATCAAAGCGGAAATTCCGTTTTCTCAGGTCTTTCATACCTCAGCAGAGCGGGAGGTGGTCCGCCAAATCAAAGAGAAGGCGTTGCAGCTTTATACCTTCTCAAGCTTGGGGTCGGTTATCCAAAGCTTTTCACTTCCCTCCGCTCAGATGCTCTCGCGTATTTCTTAGGAGGCGATGTGTCCTAGAGTCTCACACCCTTTGCGGTAGCCGTCGTGCCAGGAGTGCTACGTGGCAATGAACCCTCAAAAGGAAGAGCAAGATGTGGCCTCAATGTCTTGGTGATGATACTGTTATGATGCTGATCTGTTGTTTTTGTTGTTTGGGCATTGCCGGATCATCAGATGACACTGACTGACTGACTGACTGACTGACCGACCGACCGACCGACTGATTCTGGCCTAGGGTGAGTACGACAAGACATCCATGCAGCATCAGTACAAGTTGCCGGACGCCTGGATGATCCAGATGGTTACATATCTCCCTGGTAGAGTTTGACAAGGAACGCTCTTCCCAAGGCCTGATGGTTCAGTCATCAGCTTGGGCACAGAAAGGTGGGCGCCTTGAAATGGGAGCAAAAGAGGCTGGGATCAGAGAAACATGACTTTCTTTTGCAAGTTGATTTGCACTGAAGACACGGGGCTTAGTACCAATTCTTTGGCGGTTCTAATCCAAGGGTTTGATGTGCTTTCAAAACTTGTCCCTTACCATGCCCTCCTTTCACCAAGTGGGAAACTTGAGACGTTCAGGCTTCTTTCTTGCAATGCCCAGACTGTAGCGGGTAGCTATTCCCAAACAAGGCTGACATACTTTGCATCGAACGAACTGATAGCCAATCACCCAAGAATAAACCACAGGTCTCCAGACTGAACGTCGAGCGAGGTAAGATTTCACTTTTCTTAGGTCTCCACCGTCCGGTTCGACCAAAGCGACAAGAAACGATCTCCTGAGGTTCCGAGCTCCGGAGATCCTCTTCAACCCGAGCCTGATTGGCTTGGAATATCCAGGTGAATGGGGTGGATTAATCGGACCATGGTCGACTAAGCCCCCCCCAAACAGAGAATTTGTTTCTGTTTTTATTGCGCCTTTGGTAGAATCATTTGGCCAACAGACCCGGGAAAATAACGGTATTTTTGCTCGCTTTTTACGTTCTTTTGCATTACCTTTCGGCAACATTCGCAATTGAGAGACTCGGGGCACTGCGGCAAAGACAACAATTTGATTTTTACCGCTTTTAGCGCGGAGACAAGTTGAATTTTGATACCGCTAAAGAAGAAAACCACGGCTTTTGCATGTCTTTTCGATTAAAGAATTTGCCTTTCGGTAAAATCCATAATTGAGGGACTCGTACATTGCGACATCTTGCATTCTTACAGCTTTGTGCCCAGGATGTCGGTCAAACAGATCGATTTGCGAACTGCGTCAACGATGAAAAGTACTACTGAACCGAGCCCAAAGAATTGATATGCACCTGTTACTAGTAGCTTCTAGCTACTAGCGATGCACCTGTGCCTGATAGCGATGCCCTTGTTGCTAGATATTTACAGTTTTGATTCCAGGTTTCGATGACAAAACCAACTTTTGCATTTCGGACTTTTACTCAACATGCGATAAAAACAATGCCCTTTTACAATGCATGCGGTATATAAATACACTGGGGTGCCAAAAGTTGCGCTTCTTGACTTCTAAAACATCACAAACCCTTTCCCCTTAGAATCCTACGTGCAACATGTCGACACCTAAGTTGCGGTCAGATTTCCACACCTGAAAGCCTTATAAGTATTATAGATTTAAACGGGTGTGGAAATCTGACCGTGCTGTACCTGCCACGCAAAATGGATGTGTTAATCCGATCCGCTGTAGACCGCAAGTGTCATGTTGGAAAAGAGTAAGAAGCGTAAACTTTAGGGTTCTTGAAGTATTTCGAGCTGTGTCAGTCAGGTAAACCGTTGATTCATTCTTTCGATTTCTACCGTTTTGACCACGAATTTCAACCAAAAGAGAGATTCTCTAGCCTTTTTATGCAGAAAAACGGTAAACAAAGTATATACACCGTTTGATGTTCCGCGCAAATTAGTGACAAAACAAACACCTTTTCGATTTGTGTTTCTGGTTTTTGTTTTTGCCACAGAAGTGCCTCGGGGACCCCCGTAGCCCGAGCAACACTGGTATACCAGCACAGCAATGGTTGATGGATCGGGTTCTGAACTGACTGAAAGGAGAGAGAGCCTTGAGGTTCCGAACGACGCTGGGAGGCATACACGAGTTGTTGGCGACCGCAATCAACAGGGCTGACCTGGATTTGCGGATGACGCTCTTTTCGCAGGCAGAGACTTGTTTCATGTGACGCACCGTGCAACCGTGCTGCGACGGGCGCCGCTTTTGCGGGTTTGCTGCAGATTGTCCTGTCTGGTGGATCCACCATGTTCGAGAAGTTCGGGGACAGGCGGGTGGGATGGGCGACAGTTTGGAAATCAGCACAAGGGAACCCTGTCAAACTGGAGCCTGAAAGTAAGCAGCAAAATAGAAAGCTGCTGTAAGCTGCCACAAGCCTACTCTCACTTTTTGCATTTTTTTGCTTTCCCTTCCTCCCTTCCTCCCTCTCGTTCGCGAGAAGAGCTTCCAGCCTGAAGACGATGTAGTTCACCGAGCCACTCATCGCTCTGTGAATCGAACTGTGCCACGAAGGCTTCTCAATGAAGTCAAGAAGCTCGCGCCAAAGGACAAACGATCCACTGAGAACACCAACTTCCTCTGTGTGTGGGATATTACACATCGAGGGCTCTAACGGGTCAGTGATACGTCTCCCCAAAGACATTTGATATTTACAGCACCGTATTTTCAAGAACTTCCAGGATATCAAGATTCGCATCTCCGCTCCTCCAGAGAGAAAACTCTCTACATGGATAGGCAGGAAATGCGCTGAGGTCTTCAAAATACGAGTGATTAGCTGTTTGTTTCTGTACTGAACTCAAAAAGCTTTGCCTTGTGGACATTTGCAATTTTGCTGCTACCAGGATTAAGCATCAAACTTGATCCAGCTCAGGTGGCTCAATCCTGGCATCCTTAGCGACTTTCAAAAAGTGTGGTCCTAAATGATGTTTATTAAGAGGTTTCATCAAACTGAGTGGAGACGAGTTTGCAATGTCAACAATGATGAGTTGGTATTTTGTCAGTGTTTGTTCACATGAAATTCAGAAAAAAAAAACTCCTCAGAAATACATACATTGTTGCTTCCAGGATGTGGGTGACAAAGGAAGAGTTCGAAGAAGATGGCTATTCCATATTGTGCGCAGCTCAATTTGCTGGCCAAAGAAAAAGCACTTGCTGGGGAACATGCTTCTTGAATAGTCAGGTCCTTTGTCAAAAACGTCATATGCAGTTTGAATGCCTCGCTGAAATGAGTCACGTACATTTGGTTGCAGGCACAAGAAAGCCTTCTGACTTCTGAGCACTGCGAATGGGATGGCGGCACTATGGACAAACAGAATTCTCACCCACACCAGTGAGCCTTTGACCGTGACTTTTGACCAGCAAATTCTGTTAGTTTGTCCATGCATCGTTCTTCATTCTGTGGGATTTGCTGCACGTGTGTCAGCAAGGCTGCATTGCATGATTGCACAAAGTGGCACCTGCAAATGCATCTTGGAATCCTGCGAAAGCAGCGATCAACAGCCTTCGAAACCACGCAATAGACCTTGGTGGGACATCACAAAACCTAATTTCAGCTTTGCGGTGAAGGACCATAACACTCAACATTGGTTTGAATTCAGCCATAGGTTCGGAACCCGCTGCTGACGTGGTTTCGGTGGCGACCAGGATTTGTAGGACTTATCTCTATACTTCCTGCGGAGATCGATTTCGGCGGGAGCTATGGCAAAAGTGCAAGAGGAATTCTGGTTGTTGAGGGACGCGATGGAAGAGGTCTTAGATTGGAGGCCATCGCTAGTAGGCTGGAGGCCAAGTAGGCTAGAGGCCATCGCTCTTAGGGTGGAGGCCATCGCTAGTAGGTTGGAGGCCATTGCTTCTAGGTTTGAGCGGCAAAGAATAAAGAGGTCTCTGTACTACAAAGCGAAAAATATTGAAGTCACTAGTTGTTCGGTCCAGCTTGGCAGCCGATAAAGCGAGGCGAGATGCATCGCTTGATGGGTTGCAATCCTCAGCCATTCAGTGGCTTTGGGTCAGGCCCAGACATCGACTTGCTGACCAAGCAGGGATTTGTGGTCGGGACAACCTGAGCAAAATCCAACTGCCCCGCATCTTTAGCGATTGATAGACACATGAAGCTTCTGTATGCTTCTGTGGACTGATAGACTCCTTGACCAGTTCTTTTTCTCCAAAATGGAAGAACCTCTTGCACAATCATTTTTCTCAATCCCCTTCCAGTTTATGACGATGACACACATGTGATCGAAAGTGCCATGAGATGCTGGCCACCGCGTTGCGCCTCTTGTCATCCTTATGTAAGGGCTCCATTCAAACATGATTTGGCCATGAAGTCACACACTTCCAAACGGTACACATCATTGCTTCGTTCAATCACTGTAGGATCACTTTCCTGCTGGCTTAAGAAACCTGAGGCTCACTCATTCTGCTGGAGTGCGATGGCTCAGAGGGCTCTGTTCTTGGCTCAGGAATCCGCAAGAAGACACACCAGCTGGTGACTGGACGTTTAGAGTGTTGGCTGCGATTTGAGGATCATCCAGAGGATGGGAGCCCAGAAATTGTGGCAGAGTTCCCCTTGGACGGACAGGCCACGAGTTTGGGTTGGGATGGTCTCAGCCAGCGCATTGTGGTCGCGGTGAATGGCGCGACCTCTGACCGGCTATGCTTCTGCGATGCAGGCAAGGGATGGTAGCAAGCTCAAAGCCAAAAAAAACACGGGTTTTCAGATGTTCACTCTGCACTCTTCCAGGCTTTCTTTTGTGCCCTGCAGGAGACGAATCTTTAGAAGATGTATCTCTGCCATCTGGCGCAAGGGCGTTAGACCTGAGCTTCTTCAGCGAAGCAGCAGCTCAGCTCTAAAATCACGGGCGCTCACCCTCATGTTGTGATTCGAAGAACTGCCCGTGAGTAGGTGTGGCTATGGCCCTAACACCTTTGGTGGCCCTATGGCATGGCTCAGCCCCTTTGAGACCCACAGACCCCTTCCACCTCCCAGAACCGTCTGCGCTGTATTTGTCCCGAGGAGCGCCGCAAGAGCTGGGTGGCCGTCGCCTGCTCCGACGGAGCGGTGCGGCTGCTGGACGCCTCGCCGCAGCGGGCGGCCTCCGTGGTGAAGACGAGCTACGCGCACGGCGTGGCGGCCACGGCGGTGGCGATCTCGCGGGAAGGCCAGGGAAGAATGGGGTGGATTCGCAGATAAATCATCCAATTGCGCATACATGGACGATCATTAAGACCTTGCAAGAGTCAACCAAATCCATGTTTGTCGGCCCTGAGGTAAGTTCCTGGCATCTGGAAGCTCCAGTGGCCATGTGGTTTTGCGGCCTGGACGCAATGTAGAGGTGGTTTGTTGGAAGACAGGTATGGTTCATTGAGTCCACAGAAAAATTGTTTCTTGAACCATGTTGACGGTTTCTTTGGAAGCACTGGACCTTTATGAATGTTTTTCATCGCTATTAGGTTGGAGGCCATTGCTAGGTTCTAGGCCATCGCTAATAGGGTGGAGGCCGTTGCTTCTAGGTTGGAGCTTCTGTTGTCTTCAAGTATATAGATCCCCAACACGAGGCCATCCAGCCTGCACAAACGCCGGTGCACCTAGGCAACCATTCCACGGAAGTGGGCCAACCCCACTTCCTGGCACCTTGGTGACAGAAAACGTGTTCTGTTTTCATTCTTTCGCTCCATTGATGTCAAAGATATTGCAAGTGGGGAGCAAGTGAGCTGAACTGTTGTGAACTTCTTAAGGAATGCTGGAGGCAGATGAAGCAGGCATCGAAGCTCTGTGCTATTCCTCCTTGCGCCAGGAGAATGAGGGCGCATGTTATGAAAGTCATTTCCGCAAGTTCCAACCAGACTAGCCGGAGAAGTCACTTTCTTTTTGGTTGCTTTTGTTTCTTGGTTCATTGGATGGGTTGTAGTTTCGACTGAAGATGGTGAGAGATGCGGCTGGGGACTTCAGCTTTGACCCCTGGAAGATGGTGAAACACATGAAATGAAGTGGTGCAAGGAGTCGTGCAGGGAGTGCGTGGCTTCGATCGTTTAACACACTCATCTTGACCATTTTATCAACAGCCTTTTTGACCACTATATGAGTCATGTTCAACCTCGAGGAACATGTGTGCTTGCTTTGCCTAGTTGTTGCGTGCATGCAGGAGCCATGATTGTTTTTTTTGTACCCCAAGCGACATCGCAGTTCTGGTGAGTTTGTGATATTTTTTTGGGATCCTTTGGATATGGGTAAAACCTGACCAGTGAAAAGGCTAAGCTTTGTCAAACGCTGGCACACAACTTACAGCCGCCCAGTAGATGTAACAGTGACGACTGCCACAGGTGCTTGAAGTGTGGTGGCACTTGACCTCCTCAATCAAACATCTTTGGTCCAGTGAGCTTTCTGCAGTGGAAGACATTCCGATCCGGATGGTAACCATTTTGCCGTGTTTCCTTTGACTCTACAGAAGGAGCTCTCATATATTCGTTGCAGAAATCCATTCCTTGGCGGATGTAAGACAAACGACACAAAGCAACAAAACAGACTTTGGCTGACACAAGACCCTAGCAGCCCTAGCCAGATCCTGGGCAGATTTCAGGGTGGTGACCAGCTGAGTTACCTGCGTCTCAGATTCACAGCCCAGTTGGCCGTTTGCTGATTTCTCTAGGAGTTGTTGGCGGCGGGTGATCAGCAAGGCAATCTCCAGGCTCGCCACGCGTGGCCTCAAGCCAACATATGGCCTCAAGTGTTTGTCCACAGAGGAGCTCCGTGGATTGAGACTGAGGTCTCACTTGGCAATTTTGCAGATTCGGCCATGTCATGAGTGGTGCCATGTCGGCTTGCAGGTTTGGGATGCTGCGGCTTTGCGCCACAGCTGCCGCTTTCCTCTTGCCCATCGAGGTGTTGTGTACCCTGGCTTGGTTGATGGTATCATGTTAAGGATGTTGTTTCCATACCTTGTTCAGGATTTGACTGTACAAGATTCACAAGAACAGAGCCTTCCGAGTAGAATTTCTGCCCGGGCGATGTCTGAGGCGAGGTCTATCCTTCTCCACCCAGAACAGTGACCTCCTCATCACAGGAGGAGATGATGCAGAGCTGATCTTCTGGGATGTGAAGACTCTTGGATTCTTTTGGCCGACATTGCTGAAGGGTATCTGGGGTATGAACTTGAGTGAGGTGAAATTGAATGTTCATCTTTGATTCTAGAGTCTCACTTTGAGTGTATATATACATCCCCGGTATAGCATATTCTATTTTTTGGGATCTAAGGAATTCCAAGCAGATTCAGCAGGCCCGGTAGACAAGTCAAATTGGGCATGCTGCCTTCATAATGCATGTGATGCATTTGATCAATGGACCAAAGCGTGCGGAACAGGCAAGAACTGGCAAACTGCGCTTGGGCAGGTGTCCGTTGAGAGCGGCATCAGTTCCCTCTCATACCATTCAGGCGGGGCCTGGCTTCACAATGCTTCACATCTCTAGCTGGCATGGTGGGCACGTGGACGCAGACGTTGACGTCATACTTGATGCTTTGCTTGTGGGTGCCTCCGCTGCCAACCCGTGTGTTCTCGATTGAACGTTATATACAGTAGTGTATATTGGCCTATAGCACCGTTTCAAACGATGCCTTCTCCACATTTGTTCGCCGGGGTTCGGAGGTGGCTACCTGTTGGCCAGTGGCACCTGTGATGGCTCTGTGCTCATCTTTGACCTGCGTGCTGACCTCAAACATTTTGGCAGATCGAGGACGCGGCAGACTCTAGATGCAACAGTCTTCAAGTTTCCGAACACACTTCACTCACCACCCATTTGAACACTCTTGCGCCTCTTACTCGCTTGAGAAGAAGACCTGCAGCCCTCGTGAAGTACTTGAAGCTGCACAGGTTCAATCATGTTCGCTACATGTATGAAGCTTGTTGTGACCTGCGCTGAGGTATGCTGGTGGGGCGCTGAGCTTCTTGGAAACGTCAGATTCAGTTAACTTATTGGATGTGCATTATGAACTTGTTCTGAAGATGCAGAAGCTGGTAGGTAAGAACTCATTGAAGGTTTGCCTGTACTGGAATTGTCCTTTAGCTGTGCAAATCACGTCCTTCCCTCTGCCTTTTCACAGCTTTCGCAGCAAAATTTGCGATGAGTCCGGAACTTCTAAACTGAAGCTCTTAAGGTGCTCATTATAATTCATTATATAAATATCTCGTTTCCTTTGCTGCCAGACATCCCGGGAAACCTCCCCCAGAGACCCTCGGAATCATCCAGGTCACGAAGAAGACACCTGCAGAGCCACTCCAGCGCTTCTTAGCGCATTGTGATGATGGAGGCGGAAGAAGCGAACCATCAGTCTGCCATGGGAAGCGGAAAAAGAACACCAGACATCACATTTCATGAGATTTGGCGATTTTACCATAGTTTACGCATTTAGTAACAAGTGCCTTACTAGTAGTAACAAGAAGCTATTAGACACAAGGGCATCGCTTCTAGTAACAATTTCTTGTCTCGTTTTCCTTTTCGGTGGCATACAATGTCATGAGATGTTGAGCAGCGCAAAGCTGTTGCACCAGAGATGGTCTCTTTGGAGGTATGGTCCGCGCTTTGGCATTTGCGACAGAGGATGTGAAGTTGTCAAAGCAGGTCGATAGACGCATCGGAGCTCGGAATTGATTCAATAGATCCCGTAGAGGCCATTGAGGCCATTGCTCGGCATTCGCTATGTTACTGTTCAACATCCGTTGGAGATTGGATACATTCCTGACTTGTTTCTGCGCAACAGGGTATACTGAAACAAAGTGCTCACAAGCTTTGCCTGTTTTGACATACGTCTTGATTCACCCTAGCACTGTAGAGATCTGGAGACTACGAGCGACACAATAAGTCAAGACTTGTTCTTTTTTGTCCTTTTTTAAAGCCTGCTGGGCCCTGCCTCCTTACTTATATATACAGTTAACAGTTAAATTAAGTCAGGGAGAAGTTCGCTCCTAGATATGGACGCAGGATAGGTCACGCTTCTTCAAGGAAGCCCCCCCAAAGAAGTGCTCGCACTATTCATTTGGTTCCTAGATCTTTTTGGAACTTAACGTCACACGGTTCGTGCTTCGCGTTTCATTGGCAGGCCTTTTCTCCAGCAGCAGCATCAGGACAGCTTGGGACATCCTATGTTCGTTTGCGGTTCGGTAGACAAACTCAGGTGCTACAGACATAAGCTCAAGGCAGAGGGCTTTCATACGCTGGCATACCGTTGGAAGTGAACTGCCTTCCCAACCAACATCAAACATGGGTTTGCAACACGGCCAATTGGAAGACAAGCTTTGTCTACAAACTATATCTAATAGGTGTTTTCCACTTTCACGTTTAGTCTTTTTGAGTGCACAGTTCTGATTCTTTTGGGAATTCGGTGTTTTGATGTTTCATGCAGAGCATCTAAAGTGTTGCTCCCAGGTGGTATGTCACCCACTGGCGATCCTGCCAGATTCTCAGCTTTCCAAGACGCCTCAATTGGAGAAATGGTATTGGATAGTCTCTCAAATACCTCGCCGCTACCGAAGACATCATGTCTTGCGTATCTTCAAACCAGTCACCGCGCACGTACATTATGCACGTTGAAGACGCTCAAGACTTCAGTCTTCCGAGGTGAAGACATTTCTCCAGGACGTTGCTTGTCTCCATCAGGATGATCACTGATAGATCTGGTAGATCAGTTGTTTAATTTTTGTTTTACCGCATCAACTTCAACCAATGCCACTGAGGGACTTAAAATCAATAGATGATGTCCCAATAATATCTGCTCAACATCCAGCTCCGAAGTTTCATGTTGCTCAGAAAGTGCCCAGCTATGCCACCATTGAGTCAATGATGGATAGGCGAGGTTCCAATTTGTCGTGGTTGATGGTGGTCGGAACGCTTGTTTTTCTCCTTAGAACTCCCATGGATTGTGGAATCGCCAATGCACGTATTGGACACGATTTCATTTCGATGGCGGTCGAACTGTGCTTTGACCAGGTTCACAAGGCACAAACCCACACATGTTTCCCATGTCGAGATTAACGTTCTATCAAATTGACTTCTTTGGCAGAGCGTGGCACCTTCTAAGAAGCCTTTTCTAGCAAAAGAACTGTCCCATTTCTCTTCTGAAAAAGCAGTTTGAAGCCCTTCTCCGGGGCAGGTTGTCCAAGAGAGTGTCCGTGGTGGACTCAGAAACCTTGTATGCAACATGGGAAGTGTGGACTCTCGAAGACACGAATTTGGGTGTTCTTCGTCAATTAGAACATGCCTTGTAGTGTGTAAAACTCCCAATGACTTGTGACTCTTTGAATGACACCTAGGCTTCCGCTTCAGGGGATGTGTCTCATGCTTGGTGAACACGCAGCAACGATTTTCTGAAGACTTTAGGGCGGATGAGAAACCTTTAGTGTCTCCACTGCTGGAGAATTCGTTTCCAAAATGCTTTGCACATTGCTTTAGTGTCCCATTGAAGACGCCTGTGAATTCTTTGGATCAAAATTTATCAAACAGTTTCCCAGGTTGACACCTCCTGGAGATCAGAGCGATATCAGGACTCAAGCCTGGTTAGCTGAGCAGAATTTGGGATCTAGGATGATATGACTTCCATCTCATGAAGCTGTCCGATTCTCGATTGCTCCAGAGCTTTTTGGGGTTCAAGCTGCAGATGGTTGTGCCCTGGTGGTTGCCGGACCTCTTTCGAGAAGTCCGTTTCCTGTTCACTGCTCCTACCACTTGCCCTTGGGGTGCCATTGGACTTTTTCTGATCGTCTTGTGCTGTTGCTCTTGCCTGGCTGGAATCTGCATTGGGGCATTTGCATTTTCGGTTCAGTGTTGAAAGTTTGCATCTGGGTTGGTGAGGTTGGCATTTGTAGCTTTTTCACCAGTCACTGCAGATATCAGTGGCCCTCGAGATCGCTTGGCTGAGTACCGGAGATCCTGTTGATGCAAAGCAGGTCAACTCTCAGCCCAGAGGTGGAATCCATCACAGTGCAGTTGGCAGGGCTTGACATTACCATCAGTGTCCGGCCATCTCAGACTGCTTCAGGATACTCATCATCAGCAGTTGTCTCCGCAGTTGTTGAGGAACGTTCTGACTCACCAGATTTCTCGGATCCGAATCTCATCACCGTAGCCTTTGAGGAACGAGCTTTGGCGGCTGAGACAGCTGCTCAGTTAGCTGCTTTGCCACCGCCCTTTCTGGCAGACCACGCGGCGTGCTATCTCTCCGGGGCTCGGAGCAGATGGCCAGCTCAGGCCTGAGTGGCGCCCTCTCGGAGAGGGCGATCCGAGACCTGGCATCCCAGGTCCCAGCCGGCCGCACTTTGCCGGCTGTGTTTTTACAAAGGGATGAGTCAGACAGTTCTCCAGCAGTTTTGGTTCAATGTTTGGTGGTCTATGTTCGAACGGGTGGGTTCATGCTGGCATTACCGGCAGAGCCGGATGGAGTGATCAGAGAAACGATTGCAGGGCTACCTCAGGCTGCAACATCAGCCGCCGAGCCCATTTTCCATTCCGGAGAGGTTCCTTTCGAAACCAGACGTGGCAGGCGCGATGGAAATTTGACCATCGAACTGGTAGATTTGCCTTGGGAGTTCGCTTCGGCCTTTGTCACCATCGGCCGACTTTCTTCGACGCAGAAAAGCCAACTGGTAGGTTTCCTGTCGAGCACTGGCGTTTTGGGTCGACCCGTCAAAACATCAGTCATCGAGTTAGCCCAAGAGTGGTTAGATATCATGGAGCCCCTGACAGCTCAGGACTATTTCACAGGAGAAGAGGCAGGGTCGCAGTATGCTCCGAGCACACCAGAGCTCAGGCCGGCCGATCCCGGTCAAGCTGCATCGGAAGTGGATTTGCTGAAAGCTCGCATTGCAGAGCTCGAGAGTATGCAGTCCATTCAGGCTCTGCCTCAGGGCCCATCAGCTGCGCCGCCTCGAGCCAAGGCACCTCCGCTCCTTGGCGTCCCCGGGTCAAGCGCTCAGTTGTCTCAACAGGAGTGGGGCAAATTGCAGTTGCTGGCGGGTTCCCCGCCTCCCAGGGCTGGCGCAGCCGAGAAGCGCCGTCAGTTGACTGCGCAGCAAACTCCGGCTCAGCAGGATCTGGCTTTGGTGGATCTCCAGCGGGAGGCGGCCGAGGAGGAGCAAGATGCAGTGGATCCAGTGGACTTGGAAGCTTTGCTAGGGGCGACCTCAGATCCTCTCCAAAAGATGTTGATGGTCCAAATGCAACAGCATCAGGCGCTCTTACAGAAGCTGGTGGGAAGCAAGTCCTCAGACCCAGTTCTGGGTGCCCTTCAGAGAGGCGGCTTGGACAGCGGCTCAGGAGGAGGATCAAGCTCAGGAGTGAAGGGCTGCATGGCCCGAGAAGCCTTCCTACGTGCAGTAGCCGACCTTCCAAAAGTTGCCAACAGCACCAGAGCCAACGCCTTGAGGGAGTTGGGGATGGATCCGTCTCGCGAAGACGGATCTTTGATTCGTCGCTACATGGAACGCCGCATGCCCCTGGCAGAGCATCGTCTGCTAACATACTTCACAGCCATGCTAGCAGAAGCTTGGGCAGTGGGGTACAATTCAGGCAATGTGGAAATGTTGGGGATCCTGAGTCGCACGCTGTTTTTCACAGAGCAGTGCTCGATAGACCAAGGCCGCACCAGCGTGGCGTGGTTGTTAGCGGGATGGCAGGAACCTCCATTTCATCTCCTGACCTCAGCCAAACGCCATCCGGGGTTGCAACCCTACGCACGCCTCTGCCATCCGGCTTGGGTGTCAGCCAACATAGCCTATGTGAAAGACATCGACTACTTGGAAGGACGCCTTCAGAGTTTGGGAACCTCAAAACCCAAAAAGACCCAAGACGATTCGGACTACCAGACCAAGCAGAATCCAAAACTGAAACCCAGGAAGCCGAAAGGGACCGGGAAGGGCGGAAGACAAGATGCCGCCTCGACCGATGCCAGAAGCACGACAGGTTAGATCACTGCCATGCTCATGTCGAGCACGTTTCAGAGCTGACCGCACAGAGCTCTGATCGTCTGGCTAGTGAGAGTGCCTCGGCTTTGCCAAGTGGCTTTGTGCTAAGTTTTGATCCTGTTTCCGATGTCCCTGACCTTAATTCATCAGCAGTTTTTTCAGGTGTGCAATTAGCTCGTTGCATGATCAAGGGTTTCTTAGGGTCGCATAGTGCTTTAGGGCATTTTGTTCGAGCTAGTTTGAGACCTCATCCCAACGCTTGCAATGTGGAAAAGCCCAACCGGGCTTTGTGGCCTGTCCCCCTTCCTAGGAGATGGACGGATGCATCCAAACTGAACCCGCGTAGGCGTAGGCGACGCCGATACCATGAGACTCGTCATCTGTTGTTGCGAATCACTCTCAGCACTATGAATTGGCAGGTGTTAGGATATAAGGCGAGTCCACCTAGTAGTGCCTGTGTCGGTGCTCCAATCTCCCCAAGTCAGCGTTCCGTCATCGAAAGGGTGGAAGGATTGCTTGACTTTTTCCTCCACATGCCTTCATTTGAAGCTGTCGGGTTGGGGCGAGCTCATGGTAAGTTTTCAGAGTTAATTAAGCATATCCAGGAACTGCCTTGGTGTAAACTTAGGTTAGAGGACCTCTCGCAATTAGCTGCAAGTTTGAAGTCTAGTTTTGATCCGTACGGTAAGCATTTTGCTTTTCCAAAGTCTCAGACAGATGAAGCCGACCCCAAGTCGCATCACTGCGGCAATGCCTCGGGTGCTCGCTCCACGGTGGGCGCCATGCAGGTTCAATCCGACCGGGTGAAGTGGAAAAGTCCGCCTTCCTTCGATGCAGCCAGTTTCCTCGACGATCCCTTGGTCAGAGCTGCGTATATTGATCCCGAAACCTTGAGGAAAGACCCTTCTGAATGGCCGAAACCTCATCCCGCACAAGTTAGGTGTCATAGATCTGAGTTGTTGAAGCTTGCATCACGGTGGGATGAATTGGGAGCTTGCATGATCATTCCAAGTAGGACTAAAGATTTCCGAGAAGCAGTAGGTCTCTTTTGCGTTCCCAAAGATGAATCGCATGATCGCCTCATTGTGAACCCAGTCACCATAAACTCCAGAATGCATTCGGTCACTCGTTCAACGAAAGAACTCGCACCTGGCAGTATGTTAGGTTTGTTGCACTTAAGGGATGATGAAGTGTTTAGATATTCAGCTGACGATCTCACGGCTTTTTATTACACTTTTTTCGTATCCCCTGAACGTGCCATGCGCAACGCCTTGCGCCTTGAGTTCGAGTCGCATGAACTTGAGCATTTCAAATGTTTCAGAGATGAGTTTCATGGTGAGAAACTGTTGATTTGCCTAAAAACTCTCGCCATGGGGGATAACTTGGCTGTGGAAATTGCCCAGCAATCCCATGGTAATGTGTTGCGTTTCTTGTGTGGTGCAATGAGACCGAGCGAGACGCTCAGATATCGATGTCCTGTTCCCAGGTCCGATTTTGTGGAGCTACTCGCCATCGATGATCATGTTGGCCTCCAAAAACTCCCAAAAAGTAAGCTCCTCCAAAAACCAGCTCTTAGAGACACAGAGGTTTTCCAGAAAGCATCGGTTGCCTATAAGTCTGTGGGTCTTATTCAGCAAGAATCGAAACAACGCAGAGATGAGACCTCAGGTATTATCTTAGGCTCCGATTTCGATGGCATTCTTGGTAGGGTGATGGCCCCAAGGAACCGTGTAGCCATCCTTTGCATCATGACCCTAATGATTGCTCATAAAGGTCGCTGTACACCTAGATTGTTATCGTCCGTTGTCGGATGTTGGGTTCATGTCCTCCTTTTCCGGAGAGGGCTGTTTGCTGTGATGTCTAGTATTTTTGAAGAGGGCCGCGGTCTTGGTCAGGATGAGGTGTTTTGTTTATCCCGAAAATCGATCTGCGAGTTGCAATTGCTTGCATGTTTGGGACCCCTTGCCCAGAGTGACCTCAGGGCCAAGTACTCAGATCGCCTCTACTCCACAGATGCATCTCCAGCCGGTGGGGCCGTTGTCTGTGGTTAAGTAGGCGAGAATGTGACTGAAGAAGTGTGGCGCCATACGGAACAGCGGGGGTTTTATACAAAACTCTTAAGCCCTGCGTCGGCAATCCTCATCGAGCATGGCCTTGACTCCAAGGTAGCTGAGCAAATTGTTAATCCTCCTCCTCAATTTTCTTCTCCTCCTGAAGCCACCTCCTTCAATGTACCACCTCCCATGACTGAGGGTATTTTGTTTGATGTGTGCGAAATTTTCAGAGGTAGCGGAAACTGGTCAGCAGCACATTCAGCCCAAGGGCTCAGCACTCCCGGTGGTTTTGACTTAGATGGCCGGCGCTTGCGGTGCCATGACTTGCAAGAGGCATCGACAATGCATGAACTGATTAGTTTGGCTCTGCGTCGCGTGGTCCGAGATTTTCATGCTGGAGTGCCTTGTTTAAGCTTTGGTACATTTCGCAGGCCTCAAGTTAGATCCAATCGATTTCCCCATGGTTTCGACCCCAGTGATCTTTTTACAGCTTATCATAACAGACTAGCCCAACGAGCTTGTTTCGTGCTGACCGTTGCTTTGATGGTTGGGTCCTACATTAGCATTGAGCAGCCGCGTAACAGTAGACTGTTCAGGCTGCATTGCTACAAGGTTCTGATCCGACTTGGGTGTGTGATTTCCCATTACGCATTTTGTAGCTACGGCAGTGCATTTCATAAGCCGTCAAAGTGGCTTCATAACAAGCCGTGGTTGGTGAAGCTTGAGTCAAAATGCTCGTGTGATCATAGGGGTAACCATTTCAAAATCGAAGGTGCTTTCACACCAGACTCCATTCGCAGATTCGACCTCCAATGCTCCCCTGACGCAAAATCGGTCTTCGGCCGTTTGCCTCGCCCAGGTGAAGCAGTGGCAGCTTTTTCAGCTGCGTATCCCATACCTTTGGTGCGGAAGATGGCTCTTGGGTTGGCGGCTGCAGCGAACGGTCATGTGGACCGTATCACCGACACTGCGCGCGCACGAACCCTTGCTGAAGTCGAGGTTCTGGATGATAGTCTTGATTTTAGTTTAGTCCCAGAAGAGCCGTATCCCCCACGTAACTGGTTTGAGGATCCCGAATGGATTGGTGAAATTGTTAATGGCTGTTGCTTCAAAGAACTGTTTAGGTATAAGTTCAAAACCCCGGGTCATATCAATGTTAACGAAACACGTACGTATAAGTCTCTGATCAAGTCTCTTGCCAAAGCTGAACCAGACTCTCGTGTGGTGGCCTTGCTGGATAGTCGAGTCACCATTGGGGCATCAGCGAAAGGTAGGTCTAGTAGCTATGCCATTTGCAGAGTTCTGCAAGGCACTATTCCCTATGTCATCGGCAGTGGTTTGTACTTAGGATCTCTGCACTGCTATTCAGCTGATAATCGCGCAGATGATCCTTCTAGGGACCGTCCGGTCCGCCCGCCATCTAAGGAGTTGCCCAGATGGTTCGTTGATTTGCAAGCAGGTTCCACTTGGCGTTTTGACCAAGTCGTGGCATCCAGTGGCATTCCCAAGTTGGCCGCCAGGTGGCTCAGATTCCTTTTGTTGCTTGGTGGCGACATTGAGCGGAACCCGGGACCTGAAAAGGTTTTTCCAACTTCAAAGCGTGTAGGTCGTGGAAAACTTGACCTTCAGAAAGGTTTTGCTCCCGCAACTTCAAAGCGGATGTCCAAGTGCATTGACGGCTTTCGCGCTTGGCTGGAAAGTGAAGTGGGGATTTCATGGGACGCTTTGGTCTCTGATCCGCAGGCCACTTGTCTGGCCTTGAGAGGCTACGGACTTTATTGCTTTGAAACTGGATTGCCGCGTTACCTTTTTGTGTATGCGATCACAGGGATGCAGGATGTATATCCGTTGACGCGCAACTTTATGACATTGGCATGGCAAGTCGACAAGAAATGGCAGGTGTACGAGCCGGGCGTGTGCCGGTCGGTGCTGCCACCCATGATCATACGCGCTGCAGTTTGCCTCGCTTGCCTATGGTCTTGGCCAGCGTGGGCTGCTATCGTCTTGCTGGGTTTTGGTGCCATGCTGCATCCATCAGAGATGATGGCATTGGAACGTCGAGATTTGATTTTTCCTTCGGACGTGTTTCATGACACTCAGAGTTTGTTTGTGCGCATCAGAGATCCGAAGACCGCGCGTTTTGCGCGAAGGCAGCGCGGCCGTATAGATGATGAATCTATCATTTGGGTGGCGCAACAAGTTTTTGGTTCTTTGTCTCCGGATACTAAGCTTTTTCCTGGCTCAATCAATGTTTTTCGAAAGCAGTGGAATTGCATTATGCAGCATCTGGGAGTACCACACTCACAAGCAGGCGGGGGTGCGACCCCCGGAGTCTTACGTGGCTCCGGCGCCACGTATCTGTACTGTGCTTCAGAAGACTTGAGCTGGGTCGCTTGGCGCGGCAGATGGGCGCGAGTTAGAACTCTAGAGTACTACCTACAAGAAGTGGGCGCCTTTGTGATGGTACATAGCTTGAAACCAAGTTCAAAAGACAAGATCCAGAAGTTGTCTGCTGCCGCCTGGAGTGTGCTGTGTCATGTCTTAGCCTCTACGGGGTAGCAAATAAGAAGCGGAAAAGAATTTTGGATTTCTGATATCTTCCTATGTGAGCTGGCTTT